CCACCCTCACCTCGTCGGAGCCCTCGGCTGGGGGGACCCCCGACCGCTGCTGCCCGCGGGCAGCGCCGGGGGAAGCGGCCGAGGCAGGCAGGGCGCAGATGGCAGGCAGGAGCCAGGCAGAGGCCGGCCCAGATGCTCCGGGAAGGGCACCGCTCGCGGCTTCGCCGCCGTTCGGTTCCAGCCAGCCTTCTCCCCCCCCCTCGCCCGTAATAAATAACTCTTCCCTCAAGGCGGACTCAACGCCGGCGAGGATCCTGCCCTCGCCCCTCGGTCTGCCGCAGGGGAAGGGGGCCGGAGCCAAAGGAGGAGAGCCGGGGGTTTTTCCACGCGTTGTTTAACCCGCGTAGGCTTGACGCCCAGCCCGCGACAAAACACGGGGACTAATCCGGTGCCGTTCACTCGGCTGCAATTTTTTTGTTTTATTTTTTTTTTTATACACAGAGATTTAGATAAAAAAAAATAAAAGGCGGGCGTATGATACTACAAGACAGCCTGGGCTTTGGGGAGGGAAAGCCATTTTCTTTTGTCCTTCTCCAAAGAGCAGATGGATCTGCTTCCCAGCTGATCTCCCCAGCAGAGCAGCAGACACCTCTCATTGCTGGCACATCTCCCCCCTTTTCAAGGCTCTGAGAAAATTCATGGCGAAGCACCGCCTAGAAATTTATTGCTTTCAAGCAAGTGTGTGGCCTGTGCTGCCCTCAGAAGTTCCCTCTATGAAGTACACCCACACTCTCCAGGGCGGAGAGATCTGCCTGACATCATTAGGCAGCAGCCTCGCACTTGGCAAGCCACCGCCTGCACCAAGCAGCTCTCCGAACCCGAGAGAGAGAGAGAGGCCGACCCCTGCCAAGAGGGAACGCGTAGGAGCTACCGTGCGGGGACGCTCCCCGCGCCGTCGGCAGCTCCGGAGCGATTCCCCACCGGCCGCGAGGCTGCCTGCTCTCTCCCCCGCGGAAGGGGGAACCCCTGCCTGCCATGCGGCTACTGCCGAGGAGGGGTTTGCCCACAGACGAGGGGAGACGAGGCTCGGGTGGCTTCAGGAGATCCGTGCCGGGGGGGGGGCGGAGGTTGGCCTGATGAAGGTCCCGGGGTGAGGAACGGAGCCTGCTCCCTTCCACCGCCCTCTCCCGGGAGGTTTGGGGGCCGGCCTGGCTAGTACCTCAGAAATCCTGGGAGCGGGCACCCTCGCCAGGCTGAAGGTTGGTCCGGAGCTTGTACATGTGATCTAAGGCTTGAGTAAGGAAAATCCCCGTCGTGTTGATCTCCATCAAGGTTAAGTTATCCAGCTAGAAAAGAAAAAATAGCAGAATCTGGGGAAACAGCCCGGCCGCAGCCGAGGACAAGGAACTCGGAAAGCAGCTCTGGCAGCCCACGCTTTTCCTTCAGTGACACCCCAAGGGACCGGCCCAGCTGCCACCCCCGGTCAAGAGAAGCACACGAGCAACGAGCGCGCTATTTCCATAACGCACGGGGAGCCGCAATCAGCCCATAAATCGAGGTTTCGGCATATGGCTTTAGTTCCCAACTGACGTATCCACAAGCCCGGGAAAAACATGCCCCAACCAGCGTTTTCACGAGCAGCTCTCATCAGTCACAAGCCCACACAATCGCACGGCATCTGGAATCCTCCCAGCGCAGAGCTGGCAAACCTCTCCCCGCGCGTCCCCGCCGCACCTTGGCGTGAGCCTCCTGCTGCCTGACGAAGCTGTCCGCAGACAGCCGCAGCTTGGCTATCCGGGTGTCCCAGGTATCCTTCACCAGCGTTCGAATCTCATCGGCTTTGGGGATGTTGTCCGAGGCGCTAAGGGAGGAGAGAGCAGATCGGAACAGGCTGCAAGGGACTCGTACGTTATGTCGCCGGCGCAAGTAACGTCGGCGGTTCTTCGGCCCTCGGAGGCATAAGCGGAGCAGTTCGCCGTAGAGGGAAAAAAACCTGCAACTCAACATTAAAATCCAGCCTGGTACTGCTGCTGCTGGGATTTTTGGGATGGTTTATTTACCCAGGAACGCTCAGCTCTGACGCGGCATCTGGTTCTCACTAGAATCCTTCTGCTCTTTAATTGCCCAGCTGGTACGAGGTACACGGAGGGCCGATAACCCGGCCAAAGTCACGGGCAGCCAGGGAACTGAAAGGACTCGGCTGCGATTAAAGCCCCGGCTCCGTGCTCTCGTGGCTCTATCAGAGAGCGTTAAGTTGAAAGGACCGTACGAGTTGTGCCACATCCTCCCATTAAGGCAATTCAGCGCTGCCATAAGGACCTCGAGAGATCAGATCAATTCGCACGGACGGAGCTGTCAGGGTTATTCTAGCGTGAGGGAAGGAGCCGCACGCCAAGAGCGTCACCTCCAGAGGAAAAGCCAGCGCTTAAATGACCACCCCGCCGTAATCGAGGGCTTAAAGTCAGAAGAGTCCGTGCTGAGAAAAAAATACCAGCCAGCACATTTTACAAGTGAAATGCCTCAGCAGGCAGGAGTTCAGACTCGGAATATCCCTGGTCTCCTGCTTCTCGGGCCGAGGAAAGAGGAGCTTTCCTCCTGAAGGAGAGCCAAGGAAGAAGCCTGGAGGGTTTAGGCTGCTGAACAGATTGCAGCCACGGAATGTGTTGCTGATCCTCAAGGCCTCTACGCTTAGCTGCCGCTCAATAAAGCGGCACAGCCCCAATTACCAGGCTGCAGAACAAGCAATCCCCAAGTTACTGAAATGCAAAGTTACCATGAGAAAACTGCTGCGACGAGATCTTGGCACGCTGTGAAATAAACCTCCATTAACTCTCACTTTCCCACCGCCCTCCGGGGTTGCTGCCAACGAAAGCTTGAAAAATTGTCCACGCAAGCGTGTACTCGGGCGGAAACTGTTACAATACATTTCCTACTTACTAGTTTAACAGCAGCTTTGTGAGTTCCATATAATAGGGACTGGGCATCGGAGTGAAGGTCTCCTCTTTACGTTCCTGGTCCCGGATTTCCTCCAGTTTTTCTAAAACACGAGCGGGAATGGTCAGGCGTTGCCAGACCTTCAACGCTCCAGGCACGTTTCTAACCCCCCTTCTGTAGGCCCAACTCTCTGCCCAAGCTTCAATCAAGGAGGAAAAAGGTTTCCGCAACGAAGCGCACGAGGACGCCGACGCCGCAATCAACGTGCGGGAGGAAAAAGGTTTCCGCAACGAAGCGCACGAGGACGCCGACATCGGAGCCGCGCTTAGCACGCCGTGCCGGGAGGCTGGATCTGCACCGGCTTGATTCCCCGAACTGATGGCCTGTCGGGGGACGGTCCCTTCACCCACAGAGCACTCGCGCTAATTAGCGTTTGCGCCCTTGAGTGAATGAAGCAGGAACGCTTGGTGCAGGTCTCCCTCCTCCTGCAGCTCCATTAGTGTCGGCTTCTTCTCTTTCTCAGTCTCCCTCGAGACGACGCAAGGGAGGGCGCCACGATTCTCACTTTTTAGGGAGCGAGACGCCCGCCCGTTTCCGACGCCCTCGAGGAAAATGATTTCACGGAGCGCGCGAGCCGGCGGGGGGCAACGCTCTCCGAGGTCTGCCTCCTGACGGAGCGCCACCCGAGGTCCCCAAAGCTCCTTCCGAACAAGCCTCGCGAGAGAGGCGAGCGCCGCTCAGGAAGACCGGCGGCCGCTGCTGAAGACGAGCGTCAGGGCTGGGGAGTCAATCTAACCCTCGTTCTTCCTCCTCACCAGAGGAAGAGAAGTTAAATACCTGACTTAACCGGGAAGATTACATCTCCGGTAAATATAAAGAATTCCAGCGGTGGAACGTTAGATCCTTCTCTCGGAATTACTTTGCGCTTGTTGAATTAAGCTTCCCACTAACGGTGAAAACCAGAGATGTTTGGGGTTTGTTTTTTTTTTATTTCGTGTTTCTGCTGCACCCACTGAAGCCCAGGGCCGAAGCCGCCATCCTTACCAACGTCCATCCATTCCGGAGGAATCAGCCGACACTTCTGCCTCTGCTTCAGATTAACGGCCAGCCAGACAGGCACTTCCACCGGCAAGCCGGGATTGAAAGGACCCAGATCTCCCTGGAAGAGGAATTGAAGAGGAGAGTAAGGCAGCAGCGAGGGCCAGGACACCGCAGCGCTCGTCTGCTAATCTGGCCTCGGCCGTCCTGGAGAGCGTGAGCTTCCAGGGGATTTTGAAAAGCCCGAGGCAAATAGCATCTGAATTTCCTCCTCTCGCTGCCATCGTTCTTGCTCTCAGGCTTTTCCTCCTCTCCCTTCAGAAGTAATAACTAACGGTTCCGGCGCGTTTTCTATTCCGAGGCGTTTCGCGGAAGTTATAGCCAGAAATGGCGCCCACCGTGGAAACGCGGCCCCCCGGGCTCAGGCCGAGGCGCTTCCAGAGGCACGTGGCGGCGCAGGCCGAGGGCTTCCAGAGGCACGTGGCGGCGGAGCGCAGCTCGCACCACCAGCGCCCCCAGCAGCCAAGGCTCAGGTGCGAACGAA